TCCCCACGGCCTATCCCCCATTCCCCCATCCCCCCAAACCCACAGCCCCGGGCTCCTCCGCTCTCCTGTCCCCCCAAATCCCCAGCCCTGCGCTCCTCCGCTCTCCGTCCCCCCAACCCACAGCCCTGCGCTCCTCTGCTCTCCCGTCCCCTCAAACCCCCAGCCCTGCAGTCCTCCTCTCTCCCATCTCCCCAAACCCCCAGCCCTGCGCTCCTCCGCTCTCCCGTCCCCAAACCCCCAGCCCTGCGCTCCTCTGATCTACCATCCCCCCAGTTCCCCAGTTCAGACTCATCTACTCTCCCCGCCTCTCTCTCCCCCAGTTCTCTCCCCACTGATTTTCCTCGGCCTGTCCCTGAATGGCTTCGGGGGTATCTGCCTGACATTCACCTCGCTGACGGTGAGTGTGGGCACTGTGCCCCCTGGGGGGAGGGGCTGTGCCTGTCACTGTGGGGCAGGAGGGAGCACTGAGCCTCTTGGGATGGCCAGCAGGGGGCAGCAGAGGTGGGGCGGGGTTGTGCTTGTCTCTGTGGGGCAGGAGGGAGCGCTGAGCCCCTTGGGAGGGCAGGCTGGGGGCAGCAGAAGTGGGGAAGGGCTGTGCCTGTCCCTGGGGGCAGCAGAGTGGGGGAAGGGGTACCATGCCAGCCCTCCTCAGGGGCACAAAACATCTTTGGTCCCAAGGCTCCCCCTTGGATGCCCAGAGGGGTCAGTGCCCTAGTCTCCTCCCGGCCCTGGGCCGCGGGGGCCTGAACCCCACAGCTGAGTACCGAGGAGGCAGGTGGAGTGGCAGGACTCTGGCCTGGAGTCACGTGGCGGGGGAGTGACTAGCTCCCCTGCCTGTTTCTGGGTCCCCACGGGCCCTGCCCTGCCGAGGAGGCCTGCGCCCGAGAGTGGGGCTCGCAGCTCGCTCAGCCACTCCTGCCCCACGCGGGGCTTGGTCCAGGGGCATGGCGCAGCACCCAGCTCTCAGGGTGGGGCCCAGCCTGGGTCCCCAGTGTGTGGGGAGGGGGCTGTGTGGGTGTGCGTGGTGCTCGCTGGCAGGGAGCTCTGTGCCGTCTCTCACCAACTCCCAGGGCTGGGCACGCTCTCCCCTCCTTGCTTTGGGCTGATGTGCCACTCGCCTGCCTTCCACGTCCACGGCTCCCACTGCTCTGGGCCAGCGCTGAGCCATCTGCCTCCTGGGTGCGTCTGCATGGGCCTGACTGGCGGCTTGCACGGTGCGGGGGCGGGAGGGGGCACTGGCCTGGTGCCCAGCGTGGCTGGGTGGGGCTGGTTGCCCTGTGGGGTAGGGACAGGGCCAAGCTCTGAGCCTGGCACAGGAGGGCCTTGTGCGCCTGCTTGGGTCAGGTGGCGGCTGGGGCTGTGTTCGCCCCATGCCGAATGCTCCTGTCTGCGTTGGTTGCTGAGGGATGGGTAGCTGGGCACTGCAGTCCTGGGCTCACAGGGGAGGCCGGTTGGCGGGAATGTCACTGCAGGGTTTCCGTCGGGGCTGGGTCCCCAGTTGGTGGAGCTGGGCCCCGGAGGACAGGCTGGGGTGTTCTTGGGGGCCATGTCCCCATACCAGCTGCAGGGCCGGGCGTGATCCCGCACACCGCCCGCTCCGTGAGGGGGTCTGACCCAGGGCTTGTGCACATGCTGCACGCAGCGGTCTGAGCCGGGAAGGGTGCCAGCGAGTCCTCGGGGCCAGGCTGCCGGGTGACCTTGGCAAAGGGCTGGGTGGAGCAAAGTGGGCAGCGCTGCAGCCTCTGGCATGGGGCACTGCCTGGGTCAGGGGAGGGGGAAATCTCTCCATCCAGCACACGAGGGGTTAGGGTTACACCCTCCCCACCCCCGTGTTGCATCTTGGCACAGGCACAGCCCCCCCTACCCAACCTGCCAGCAGTCACGTGACCTGGGCAGGTAGCTGGCAGCCAATAGGAAGGCAGGATCTCGGCGCACACCCCCTGCCCCAGCGCTGGGAGGGGAGAGGGGGGCAGGGCATGTGTTGGAGCTGGCCTGTTTTCTAAACCAAGGTGCCCTGCTGCTTGCCGCTGCATCTGGGGGAGGGGAGGAACAGGCCTGATCCCCTCCCCCATGGGGCCCCAACACTGTCCAGAGCTGGGATCCAGCCCTAACCCTCCCCTCATGGCACCCTCACCCTGTATCTAGGATCCCTCCCCAGGGGGAAGCCAGGCCTCCTCTCCCCTTCCCCCACCCACTGCTCCTCTAGTGAGACCCCCCCTCAGTGGGGGTCAAAGGGAAATGGCTGCCCCCAGGCCTGAGTAGATCTGGGCCCCTCAGGGCAAGTCGGCCTGAGCTGGGCAGCAGGGAGGGCTCTGCAGCAGGGAGAGGTGGTGTCGATGGGCTGGGATAGGGGGAGGGGGGAAAAGATTGGGGAGGGCCAGGGGCCTGTCCTGGTGCCAGGGTTGTCCGTCCCCCCCCCGCCACCTCTCCCCCCACTAACATCTTGTGTCCTCCCCAGCTGCCCAACATGTTTGGGAACCTGCGCTCCACCTTCATGGCGCTGATGATTGGCTCGTACGCCTCCTCTGCCATCACCTTCCCCGCAGTCAAGGTACGGGGGCCTCTTGATGTGGGGCTGGTTCAACGCCCCCCTTTCCTGCCCCAGATCAGTGGGTGGCCTTGACTGCTGGATTGGGTGGTGGGGGGGCTCACAGAGAGCCTATCAGCGCCTCTGGGTTACGTGGGGAGAAATGAGGGGTATCAGAGTGACCCCTGCCCAAGATGCCAGCCAGACCCTCCCTGTCCACATCTGCCCCACTAACCTCCTGCTCCCCTGCTCCCAGCTGATCTACGATGCCGGCGTCTCCTTCAGCACCATAATGCTGACCTGGTCGGGCCTGGCCTGCCTCATCTTCCTCAATTGCCTGGTCAACTGGCCCAAGGAGTCCTTCCCGGCACCCGAGGAGGCCAACTACACGTGAGTGAGGGTGGGGGAGCTCCAGCCTTTCCCAGCAGGGGGTGCTGTAGGGAGCAGGATGGGGAAGCTCTCAGCAGACAATGGCAGGTCTCCCCCAGCAGGGGGCGCTGTGGGGCAGTGGCGGGGAGCTCCCAGCAGGGGGCGCTGTGGGGGCAGTGGCAGGTCTCCCCGAGCAGGGGGCGCTGTAGGGAGCAGTGGCAGGTCTCCCCGAGCAGGGGGCGCTGTAGGGAGCAGGGTGGGGAAGCTCCCAGCAGACAGTGGCAGGTCTCCCCCAGCAGGGGGCGCTGTAGGGAGCAGGGTGGGGAAGCTCCCAGCAGACAGTGGCAGGTCTCCCCCAGCAGGGGGCGCTATGGGGACAGTGGCAGGTCTCCCCCAGCAGGGGGTGCTGTAGGGAGCAGGGTGGGGGAGCTCCCAGCAGACAGTGGCAGGTCTCCCCCAGCAGGGGGCGCTATGGGGGCAGTGGCAGGTCTCCCCCAGCAGGGGGTGCTGTGGGAGCAGTGGCAGGTCTCCCCCAGCAGGGGGCGCTGGTTCTCCTCTCACCCCCCCCTTTCCCGGGTCAGGAAGAAGATCAAGCTGAGCGAGCTGGCACTGGATCACAGGGTGACGGGCGATCGGTTCTACATCCATGTCACCACCGTGGGGCAGCGCCTCAGCCAGAAGGGGCTGTGCCCGCAGGGGGGCATGGAGCTTTGCCCATCCACACAGGACCTGTGCCACGGGGCCACGGTCCCTGCCGAGTGTGAGTGCCACATGCCCCCTGGGCTCAGGGTGCCAGCTGGGGGCAGGGAAAGTCCTGCTGCAGCACCCCCTGCTGGGCTGTGTGCACCCTGGGTGGGCAAGGTTTGGGGGCTGCTGGGCTTCCCCAGAGTGTGTGCGGGGAGGAGGTTCAAGGTGTATAGGGGGAAGGGCTTTGCCAAGGTGGGGGGCAGAGCTTCCTGAGGAGGGCAGCGTGACAGGGCCACCCAAGAGTGTCTGAGGGGCTCAGGGTGTCTGATACCCCCCCAGGGGAGCAGTATGTATGAGGGGGTTCTGTCAGACTGCGGGGTGCAGGGGGGTGCAGGGCTCTCCCAGGCTGGGGGGTGCGAGGGGGCAGTGCAGTGCATGGCTCGTCCCAGGCGTGGGGGTACAGGGGGACCGTAGAGAGGTGCGAGGGCTCTCCCAGGGCTGGAGGGTTCGAGGGGGTGCAGGGGCTCTCCC